TCCTTTTGTATTATTTTTTATTGATATAATCCTTATACAACATATTTACATTATCACTCATGTTTTTGTTTTACGTTTTGCATTTAATAGATTCTTGTTTTTTTGTATTTGATTAATATAGCCTTATTTATTTACAGTATTTACTTACCCCTTTAACCAGCTGATTAACTTTTTTTTAAACTTTATTTATTCATTTATTTTTTATTATTATTTTCTATTATTCAATAAATTTCGTGTACATTACCCTATATTTATAAATTACCAATTCTCAAATACTGGTATTTTGACTAATATTAAGACCAGTCACATTTTGTTTAACTTTACAGCTCAATTTATTTATTTTACTTCTCCTTCCTCTCTCTGTATCTTCTTTTTATTTGTTTTGGTTCTTTGCTTTGTTCTGAAATGTTGCACAATTATCTACAATGTTTGTCTTTATTATGTTGTAAATATAATTAAAAAAATACAAAAAAGAGAAGGCTCTTATTATATACAGGAGTAAATTTTAAATGACTTTTTTCTGTTGTACTACCACAATAGATTTTAATCTTTTTTTTGTATAAAAGTGAAATATTGTGTTGCAGGGGATAAATCATCATCATTTCTCTCTCTGTCCTGCATGTCACATATAACCAACAACAGTAGGTTTTTTTCACACCAGAGTCTGAGGAGGGAAAACGTTTTTCTTGTTAACTGCGGAGATAAAAAGAAGACGTGGACATTAGTCCATCTTGCTAATTTAACAAGCATCTCTTGCTCTGGGAGCGAACTGTCAGTAATGTTTCCCAATAACCCAGGAAATGTGGTAAAGCTCAGATGTCCYAGCTTCTCAAAAGTCAAATTCACTCGTGCAAATTTTTAATTTTCTTGATGTGTGCGCTCAAATTTTTCTGAGACTAATTTATCGCCATACATACTGTACATCGACTTTTATATTTATCTATCAGGCAAAGGAGTCATTTGAGGTTTTCACAGATTCGACTCACTTTAGACGTTGTGACGAAGGCCTCCGCKACTTTGCGGTTCCGCCCTCCGTAGCAGGTGGTGATGAGGTCCGCCACGCCACAGCTTTCAAGGAAGGTGCTGGAGCTCACCTGGCTTTTGCAAAATATCTTGGCGAATGCGACCATTTCCATCAGACCCAGCCTGATCACTGCTGCTTTGGTGTTGTCGCCGAATCCGAGGCCGTCGCAGAACCCAGCGCCGACGGCTACGATATTCTGGTGGTGGTTAAAACAATAATCAACACAATGATAAAACAGACATCTTTAGCGCAAAAACGACTAAATGGCTCATTTGCAGCAAACCTTTAAGGCTCCACACAGCTCCACTGTATCGCTCTCATGAACAACGGTGATCCGAAAATTGGGAGTCTGCAGGAGCTCCTTAAAAATGCGGCCATTTGCCTCATTTTTTGCCCCTTTTTGTTCAACACAGAGACAACAAACAAACAAAAAGCATACATTTGATTTAGGTTTCTGGAACTGGTAAGCTGTGCTGACCACAAAAATCCAAACCAACTTGGCTAAAAAAAAACCAGTCTCTAACCAATGGTGGTTTCACAGAACTTCTCATCCGCCACCTCGTTGGCGATGTTGGCGCCCATCAGAACGCTGACCTCGATCTCCAGTTTCTCTCGGATGATGTCTGAAATGAGTTTCAGTCCGTTTGGACCTTCATCAACGCCCTTAAAGACAARTAAATCAGTTTCAGGAACTGACCTCTAGTCTGAGTAGAAATGTGATAAAGTTGTCAGCTTCTCCTTCTTTATAYACAAGGGAATTCAACAAATCACGAGGTCCTACTTTGATGAGAGAAATCCCAATGGTTCCCTCGGTCACATGAGGCTTCATCTGATCACAAATCTTGTGGATGAACTGGTGAGGGATCACGAASACCAGAATCTTGGCTCCTTTCGTGGCTTCGGTTATGTCGGGGATGGCCACCTGGAGAATACCAAATTAATACAGTATATCACGGTGTTTCCCCTCCCATTATCCAAGGA